TTGTATCATCGTCTGTGTAACTGTTTTTTGGTTTGAAATAAAGTTGTTACATTCCAAAAAAATAAAAAACAATTTTGTTTTTATTTTATAAATATGTCTATCTTTTAAAAATAAAAAACTATTTTAGTAAAACCATTTTATTTTGATTATTTTTATTTTTATCATATTTTGAAAACAAAAGCATGCGTATCACACCAGCACCCGTGCGAATGAATTGGGATTTTATGGTTCACCTAAAAAAGGAGAAAAGAATAAGGAAAATTTGAAATACTCATTTATCTTTAATTTTCAATCACCCATAAATAAATGCAACCAAGCCAAGTAAAAAAATTGAGGAAAGAAAATGAAAGATTAACAAATATGAGAGGAAGAGACAAGCTGAGAGATTATGAGAGAGAGAGAGAGTTTTAAAAACCAGACTGAACTAGCCAGTCGGTCCGGGATCTGAAGAAGTCATTGATCTTGTTTGATTGTTAGATTGGGTAAGTTATTAAATCGGTGTAAACCGATCAGAACCGTCAAAACTAGTAAAAACTAGAATATCGGAGGTTTTAAAAACCAACGGATTAATGTCTTTTTTTATTAATTAAAATATTAGTATACTTTATGCAAAACTTATTTGAAACAATTTTCTTTTTCTAAAACTAATTTATTTGACAAGTTGTTTTGTTATTCAGTTTATGTTACAATTAGACTTTGTTCAAAATTTATTTATATTTATATTTTATACTATATTTTTGTATGTGATGACTATATTTAGAATTTGAATTAAATAGTGTACCACTAATTTAATACTCTTATCAATTTAATAATTAATCTGATTTTTAAATATTAAAGAAAAATGAGGAAAAGAGTTATTATAAGAGAGAGAAAAGTGAGTTAGTAATATGATAAAATGGTTTTTTTCATAATAATATATTAAAATTATAATTATTTTCATATGGACTCCTAATGTCACTATAAGTCGGTGTGCTATTAGTGAAATTTAAATAAATAAAAAGGAAAATACACCCACTTTTCCATGATATATTTTAAAATGGCATAAACACATTTTCTAATTTTAAAATAACTTCTACTAAATACACATATATCTTAGTTTAATCATATAAAGTTAGGGTTTTAATTTTGTGGTTAGGATTTTTTTAAATTGATTTGATAATTTTGATTTTGATTTAGTTTTTTTTTTGTCTCAGGTGTAGTGGTGTTGGCTCAATTAAAAAAGAGAAGATTCGCGGCGATTTGGTAAGAAAAAAATCATACGTAAAATTTAATTACAATTTTTAAACTGCTACTAAAAATTTGTGTTGCTCTATATAAATTTATGAAATGTTTATATATATATATATATATATATATATATATATATATATATATATATATATATATATATATATATATATATATATATATATATATATATATATATATATATATATATATATATATATATATACTATGTCAAACAAGCACATAGACAACGTTCCTTTTAGCCATAGACATCGCTTGTAAGTACGGCCTATTCCTGCGATGTTGTAACTTTAGACAACGCTTTTAGTCTATGTGAAAGCGCTGTTTAATGTAGAACTTATACAACACTTTATTGAATAAGTGCTTTCTAAAGACTCCAATAGACAAAACTTTAACAATGTAAGTGCTTTCTATAGTGTGCCTATAGCAGCGCTTTCATTTTAGACAGTGCTTTCTCAAGCGCTATCTAAAGTGAAAGCGCTGCTATAGGTACACTATAGAAAAAGCGATGTCTAATATATTCTTTTTTCCTTTTTTTTTTATATTTTAGGCAAGCGCTGTCTAAAGTCCCCTTTTAGGCAGCACTTGTTATTCCAAAGGCAACGCTTTTTGGTTTAAAACGCTGTCTAATGTTACCGAATTTTTTAATATATTCAACTTATATTTTAAGCGCCCTGTACACATAATCACTTAAAATTTAAGCATTGTCTTTCAAATTTGCACTAGAATTTATAAATTTGAAGCTTCAATCCAATAAATATGCACCAGATTTACATATTTACAACTTTAATCTAACAATTTATATATACATAAATACAACTTAAAGTGTTCAATATTTTATATAAAACATAAATTTAAATATTTACATATACAGCTTTATAAATAAATAAATATGCACCAAATATACATATTGTTATTTTCTAGAGCTGCTATATTCTACTATCTTCTCTACAAACAACAACAATGAAGGATCCTAAATGAATCTATATATCGTCTACATATGCATTTATCCGGAACAAAACAAACAAAGACATATATATCAGAATCAAACTATATATATAACACTTAAAAATCAATGTAACAAAAACAAATCAAGATTCATACAAACAAAATTCCTCAATTCATAACATACATACAAACAAAAGTCTCCGATTTCGTCCATACAAACAAAATTCCGTTATAACCCACCATTAAAAATTCTCCAATTCATACATGCAAACAAAAGAATATGTACATAACATGTACAATCTTTTTGTTACTTAACAAGATTGCACAAACTATTGAGGCAAATAATATGATGACACAACTCTGTTAAGGTAAAATCATATTTACGTTGTTGTATGTTGTTTTAGTATATTGTTGTAAAACGATTTTAACTCTCTTTTTGACAGTATCGTCGTTTCTCACATCATAACCTTATCACACATTTTCTCTCTTCTTCTTCGTCATTATCTTCCATATTCTAAAATATAGTTATCGATCTGGTTCTTCATAGATAAATGTATTCTTATTCTACCTTAATCTTCTTTTTCGTGTATGTTGTTATGCTTCACATGATATTCATACGATTTTCTTCTTGTTCGATATGCTATTTATGTTGTTGTATGTTGTTGTTAACACGAGTTTGCATCTGACTCCTCAGTTTTATCATCCTTTCATTGTAAATGCTATGGGTTTAAATGAGACAATGTATTTTTTAATTTAAATTATGTATGTTGTTGTATATTGTAGTTCTTGTTGATGTTGTTGGTAATGTTCTTGTTCATGTTGTTGTTGATGTTGTTGATGTTGTTTATGTTGTTTGTGTTATTTGTTAATAAATGGTATTTCATGTGCAACTAGCAAGTGGTTATGAACTCACTTATCAGTGATACAACTGAAAATTCTTATCAGTAAACATGGATCTAAGACAGTTGCGAACTTGTGTTCGCTGTGAAAATATTATGAGTCTTTAATTCATATCATATTTCCTTAAAGAACACGTGTTTTCAACTCTTCATATCTTCCAGGAACGATCAGTTATCAAGTTTTCTAAATCTATCTTAATTATTAGATGTTTTTATTAGTGAATTTGTTATATCATATGTGGTTGCTTGTTTCACTAACTACTCATTGAACGTGCATTCATTTAAATAGATTTTTGAGGTAATAATCAGAAAAATTAAATTACTTTTGAAAAACAACTTTGACGATTCAATGTTTTTTCGAATTGCATTCATCTTGTAAATTATAATTTCCTCTTTGACTTATAGAATTTGATTTAATGCCATAAATTCTTCAAAACAATATTGATAAATGGGGATCAGTCTGAGTTTTTCCATGCAAATCTTGATGTTTGAAAAACAAACTAGAAAAGATGAGGAAATCAAATTTTGTGTAAAAGATTTACACTAACATCCATTCATCAACATTACTGTGAGGAATTTAGAATTGAATCAAATTTTATCGGTTCATGAGGAAATTATAAATTACAATATGCATGCAATTCGAAAAATGTTGGATCACTTAAGTCATTTTTCAAGAATAATTTAATTTTTCAGATTATTATCTTAAAAATATATTTGAATTATTGTATATGATTAATGAGAGGCCAAGGAAAAACAAACTATCTAATATTTTATAATAAACTCTTAAATATATATATTAACATAGATCTATTATCATTATTATCTTATAGTTTATTGCTAATTGTATTTAAATACACTAAAACTTACTATCTTATCTTTTATTTTATATTCTAAAATAATATTTAGAAATTATTAAACGAAAAATTTATTATTACAAAGCAATTTTTGTATCTTCTTTATAGTTTTTGCTTCTTTTTATTCTCTTTTATACTTTTTCAATAATATTTTCTACATTAGCCGATTAAAATATAAATAAGATAAGTAATAGTAGTTCTAGTATATCTTTTTTAGAAATTCAAAAATGATATATTTTTTCTCAAGTACTTAAAAAGTAAAAAAATAAAGACCAATTCAAAATCATGATTCAAACAAAATGGCCGCATATGTAATTGTCAATGGAGAATACTAGCCATTTGTTAATAGCAAGTTTTAACTAAAGTCAGTCTTTTAAGTCATGCTGGGGTTTGCCACCAAACTCCTACAAAGTCAAGTGATAGACAAATACAAGAGACAACCAGCCATAGTAATAATTCCTAGGTTGTTTAAATATACATAATGTGAAAAGTGTTTTAGTGAAGCACGTGACGTTATATTCATCTACCATCCACTCTTCCATTCATATAAAACCCTCCCACTCCAAACATATTCTTTGCACCACAACCCCCTTCAACACTTTCTCTTTCCATAAACCAACTGAATTCTGTTACCAAATATAACAAGTTCTGTGAACCAACTGAATTCTGCTACCAAACATATATATCAAGATGGTTAGTGTGTCTGAAATCCGCGAGGCTCAGAGGGCAGAAGGTCCTGCAACTATCTTGGCCATTGGCACTGCTAACCCCCCTAACTGTGTTGAACAAAGCACATATCCTGACTTTTACTTTAAAATCACAAACAGTGAACACAAGACTGTACTCAAGGAGAAATTCCAACGCATGTGTAAGTATTTTATTTTGTAGAAGCTGCTACTTGTGATATGTGGTTGCTTTTTGTATCATTAGCTCAAAACTGTTGTACTATAACTATTTCAGGTGATAAATCTATGATTAAGAGGAGATACATGTATCTAACCGAAGAGATTCTGAAAGAGAATCCTAGTATTTGTGAATATATGGCACCTTCCTTGGATGTTAGGCAAGACATGGTCGTGGTAGAGGTCCCTAGACTAGGGAAGGAGGCTGCAGTGAAGGCTATCAAAGAATGGGGTCAACCAAAATCCAAGATTACTCACTTGATCTTTTGCACCACAAGTGGTGTAGACATGCCTGGAGCCGATTACCAACTCACCAAACTCTTAGGTCTACGTCCATATGTGAAAAGATTCATGATGTACCAACAAGGTTGCTTTGCAGGTGGCACGGTCCTTCGTTTGGCTAAGGACTTGGCTGAGAACAACAAAGGTGCTCGTGTGTTGGTTGTTTGTTCTGAAGTCACTGCAGTTACATTTCGTGGCCCTAGTGATACTCATTTGGACAGTCTTGTTGGACAAGCACTCTTTGGAGATGGAGCTGCTGCACTTATTGTTGGTTCTGACCCAATACCAGAAATTGAGAAACCTATCTTTGAGATGGTTTGGACTGCACAAACAATTGCTCCAGATAGTGAAGGAGCCATTGATGGTCACCTTCGCGAAGCAGGGCTAACATTCCACCTTCTTAAAGATGTTCCTGGGATTGTTTCAAAGAACATCGATAAAGCATTGGTTGAGGCTTTCAAACCATTGGGAATTTCTGATTACAACTCTATCTTTTGGATTGCACACCCAGGTGGACCGGCAATTCTAGATCAAGTCGAACAAAAGTTAGCCTTGAAGCCCGAAAAGATGAGGGCCACTAGGGAAGTCCTAAGTGAGTATGGAAATATGTCAAGTGCTTGTGTATTGTTTATCTTGGATAAAATGAGAAAGAAGTCAACTGAAGATGGTTTGAAGACAACAGGTGAAGGACTAGAATGGGGTGTGTTGTTCGGCTTTGGACCAGGACTTACGATTGAGACCGTTGTTCTGCACAGTGTCGCTATATGAGATCCTTAAATATATTTGTTTTATTTATCATTTTCATATTTGCTTTATTTTATGTTATGTTAGGAAAATTAAAAACTCATAATTCCACCTCTACTACTATTTGTTATTTGTTAGGGAAATAAAAACTCATAATTCAAGATGTACTATTATTTTTTTAATCAAAGAGATGTATAAATAAAAGGAACCAAAAGATACAAAGGAACGAGAGGGACTATGTAAAAACTAGATACTAATTAAGAAGTCAATTTCTATCCTTATAGAAAACATGTCTAACCATTATAGGAGTGTCATTCCATTCCATAAAGATTTACACTAGCCACAACCCAAGATATTGTAGAACTCCAAAATGGTTTTCCATTATTTAATATTTGGTTGTTTTGATTGTCCCAGATGATGTTAAAACTATTAATGATGGTCGCATAAACTATGAACTTACATTTGTTAGTGCGTGGAACACTGTTGGTAAAGTTCTTGTTGATGTTGTTGTTGATATTATTTCTGTTGTTTGTGTTATTTGTTAATAAATGATATTTCATGTGCAGCTACCAAGTGGTTATGAAATCTCACTTATCAGTGATACAACTGAAAATACTTATCAGTGAACATGGATCTAAGATAGTTGTGAACTTGTGTTCGCTGTGGAAATATTATGAATCTTTAATTCATATAATATTTCCTTAAAGAACACTTGTTTTCAACTCTTCATATCTTCCAGGAACTGTTAGTTATCAAGTTCTTTAAATCTATCTTAATTATTTTATATTTTTATTAGTGAATTTGTTATATCATATGTGGTTGTTTGTTTCACTAACTACTCATTGAACGTGCATTCATTTAAATAGATTTTTGAGATAATAATTAGAAAAAATTAAATTATTCTTGAAAAACAATTTTGACGATTTAATATTTTTTTGAATTGCATTCATCTTGTAAATCATAATTTCCTCTTTGACCTATAGAATTTGATTCAAGGCCATAAATTCTTCAAAACAATGTTGATAAATGGGTGTCAGTCTGAGTTTTTCACAAAAATCTTAATGTTTGAAAAATAAACTAGAAAAAAATGAGAAAATTAAATTTTGTGTAAAATATTTACACTGACATCCATTCATCAGCATTATTATGAGGAATTTGGGATTGAATCAAATTTTATCGATTCATGAGGAAATTATGAATTACAATATACATGCAATTCGAAAAACATTGGATCATTTAAGTCATTTTTTAAGAATAATTTAATTTTTCAGATTATTATCTTAAAAATATATTTGAATTATCGTATATGATTAATGAGAGGTCAGGAAAAACAAGTAATCTCATATTTTATAATAAACTCTTAAATATACCACAACGGTTCTAACAAATAATCCATAGTAAAATGTAATTTTTAAAGCGCTTAAAATTTGACTGAAGCTGGGTATCAAACTCATGAATCTATATTTATAACAACGGATATTTAATCTAAACGTTGTGATAGATAGCATGCAACATAGTTTATCACAACGGCCGCACAACCGTAATAGAAAATATCATACATACAATCACATCTTACCTCACCATAGTTGATCAGCTGTGATGGTATCTTTTTTTCAACTATGATAAAATGGCTTTTCCGTAATAGTGTATTAAAATTATAATTATTTTCTTATGGACTCCTAATATTACTATAAGCCGATTTGGTATTAGTGAAATAAAAAAAAATAAAAAAAGGGAAAATACACTCACTTTTCCATGATATATTTTAAAATGACATGAACACATTTTCTAATTTTAAAATAACTTCTACTAAATGCACATATATCTTAGTTTAATCTTATAAAGTTAGAATTTTAATTTTGTGGTTAAGGGTTTTTTTTTTATAGGTCGTATAGATTTTGATTTTGATTTAGTTTTTGTTGTTTTAGGTGTAATGGTGTTGACTCATGTGAAATAGAGAAGATTCACAAAGATTTGATTAAAAAAATCATACGTAAAATTTAACTACAAATTTTAAACTGCTATTAAAAATTTGTGTTGCTCTATATAAATTTCTGAAATGTTTATATATATATATATATATATATATATATATATATATATATATATATATATATATATATATATATATATATATATATATATATATATATATATATATATATATATATATATATATATATATATATATATATATATATATATATATATATATATATATATATATATATATATATATATATATATATATATATATATATATATATATATATATATATATATATATATATATATATATATATATATATATATATATATATATATATATATATATATATATATATATATATATATATATATATATATATATATATATATATATATATATATATATATATATATATATATATATATATATATATATATATAAACATAAACATAGATCTATTATCATTATTATCTTATAGTTTATTGCTAATTGTATTTAAATACACTAAAACTTACTATCTTATCTTTTATTTTTATATTCTAAAATAATATTTAGAAATTATTAAACGAAAAATTTATTATTACAGAGCAATTTTTGACTTCCTCCAACCAAAAATTAGATCTTTCTGAGGTTACTGTTCGTCTTCGCTGGATCCTTCTAATTTGTTCCCCCTCCTCGATGTCTCCCTCTAGCCATCGCATCAACTCCCTCTTCAGACGCTCCATGGAGTGAATGTGCCAGAATTTCATTTTCATCGGAGGTTTTGTGGCGGAAAAAATAACGTAATCATCTCTAGTAAAAATCATGGGCGATGTCATGACGCAAATAACAGAGTAAAAAATAAGACAACAGTGCGAGAAAGTGTGAGGAATGACAGAAAAACAGACGAATTATTTATAAAAATAACATTTTGCCCTAGGAACCAAGTGAGATGGCGCCTCCTCTCACTTTTAAAGTGCATGTGCCATCTCACTTGACTAAAAGAGAGAGGAGGGGCCAAGTGAGATGGCGCCTAGTGTGACACCCCAAATTAATTTAATTGTTAAATAATTAGGAATTTAATTATTAAATTAATTAAAGGCTTAATTAATAATATTTTGGATTAAATGGATGAATTAATTATGGAATTAAAAAGGAAGACCGGGGGTGTAAGGTTGAATTAGAGGTGTGTGTAGTAAAAAGCTCTACTAAAATAATTACTAATTTATTTTTATTATTTGGCAAATAATAAAAGGAAAAGAAAAAAGAAGAATAAAAAGGAAAAGGAAAAGAAGGGTTTTGGAAAAACTCATTGTACGTGAAATTGGAGAAGAGAAGAGAAGAGAGGAAAAAGCCAAACGCCGTGAATTCGAAGGATCATCGTGAGGTAAGGGGTGATTTCGATTATTTAATATGCCTTATAGATTTTGGGATCAATAGAATTGATTAGGCATGTTGTAGCGATAAAAAATGTAGCGGGGTAAATCGGAGATCGAATTATTGATTAATTCGTCTCACAAAAAGCAAGAGTCGCCACCGCGCTTTATTGTTTCCAAGGGAAAAGGGAAAAGAGTGAAATAAAACCCTAAATATGCAATGTAAACAATACTTTTGAAAGTAATGAAAATACAAGGCGTTTTTGAAAAGAGATCTATGGTTCGGGGGTTGGTTATACAATGGGAAGGTACTAGCACCCAACGTATCTATAGTACTCTATAGGAACCTTTTGAAATGTCTGTTTTATTTAAAATTGATTGCTTGATTGAAGACAAATTGTTTTGGCCGAAACGGGATACGGACGGGTTTTTGAAGATACGACGACCTAATGTCGAAGTTTTTGCTTAAAGGGCATAAATTTTGAAAAGGGTGAATATTTGAGGAAAAATTATCCTAAGTTTTAATGAAATGCGAAAGTTCGCGCAGTTAGACTTGAGGACATGAAGTCAACAAATTTACTGTTTTTTCCTTTGGATTTAAGCATAAACAGAATAAACAAATAAATAAATACACGGACAAAATATGCGAATAACGATTAAATAACGATAATTTAAATGATAGACTAAATGATGCAAATAATGCGTTTTTATGATTTTTTTGTTTAATGTTAACGGGAAGAAAGTATTTTTAATTTTTTACGCATTTTGATAGGGATAAAAAGCAAGAGAATTATTTAACGAGGACATAATATTTTTTTTTAGTTTTAAGTCATTAAGTTTTTTGATATATTTTGATATTAATATTAATAAGGCAAGAAAATGAATTAATAAAATATTTTTTATATTTTTTCCTATTTTTATATATTTTAGGATTTTGTTTAATAACGATGTAAGAGGAGAGTTAATTAAAAAAAATAAAATGTCTACATCCTTAAATTCTATATTTTTTATGTATATAAAAATACTTATTTAAAAGATTAAGGGGTTCTAAATTAAGTTAAAAGTTAATAATTTACCTTAATGAAATAAAATTAAAACTCTTAAATTAAATCCAAAATTAAACTAAGATGTCAAATTAATTAATAAAAAAACTAGTTAGACATATCTTTTTATTTTTATTATACTTATCAATTAATTAACATAAATAATAATTTTAAAAGAAAGGATTAGAGGAAATAAAAAGTGATAAAAAGTGTATCAAAAAATAAGAAATAAAAAAAACAAGAAAGGTATATGGGCTAGCTGGTTGAAGGCCCATGCAGAATCCAAAGTGGGGGGGGGGGGGGGGGTGCAGAAGCAGGTCGTGGGCTTAAGGAGAAGAAATGGGATGAGGCCCATATATTTTACAAAGTGTATTAGGGTTAGTTTTGTTTAACATAATGGGGATTAGGGTTCTGCTAGGCAGAAACGGCGCGTCTCTCTTCTCTTTGATCTTCTTCGGGTTTTCTTCTCCACATTTGCCTCTGAATTTGCTATCTCTTCTTGCCATGGCCACCCACTCCAACTCCTCTTCCCTCTAGCTGAACGAAAAGAAGGACGGCTACGGATTCGGTAAAAAAAAGCTTCTGATTCGTTAACGCTTGGTTTCGTTTTTGCATGTTGATTCTGATTCCATGATT